GTTACGTTTTCTATACATACCATTTGAATATTTCAAAGTCGCTTTCTGTCATACTTAATCTCTGCTTAATGTAATTTGACTTGAAGACGAACAATGCATGTGGCTAATAAATACTTATCAAGCAAGAAATGTTTCTTGCTAAGTTTCTTAAAATCGTGTCGTATTCTTATCTCTTTCATGTTTTAAGTATGCTTTAATACATCTGCAAATTTTAAAGATTATCATGCTTAACCTAACTATTAAAGTTTTTAGATAAAGTACCTTATTGTTATTTTGTACTGTTTTACCCCATGCGTTTGTTTGTTTTAAAGAAGCCACATTGGGCTATCTGCAGAGAGCAGAATCCCCGATTTTAATGTTCAAGTCCATAAACTTACCTTTCCACGTCAGGGCGTTTGTTAAATACTGTTGTTAATGATAAAAATAGCGATTTGTCTACGAAATCGCATCTTGCACTTACGTATTCGTTAAATTAGCAATAGTGATTTCATAGCAAATATTGTATCCAAACCCCTTCACAAAAAGAAGAACCACACAAACTTCATTTTGTTGAAACAACAGACTTCTATAGTGGCATATGTTATGTTTAAAATCTAGAACTTCTAAGCTACGTAGCACATACACAAGAAAAGATAACCCTTTCTTTATTAAAGCAATTTGCTCGCATTTACGAAAATGAAAAACAAGAGGATGTTTTCACCACCTAGATTTTGATACGTTGTAGTCACTACACCTGGCTTTGAAGCTTTAATTCAAAAATTTTAAGTTTCAGCTGTACCATTACTACTTTTTTCGATTAATGGACATTTAATCTTTAATCAAACTAAGTCTATTATCAAAAATACTTCAACTCAGACATGTATAGATAAGAAATGTGATAGAAACTCTGCTCATGCTGGCGTCTCTTATCTCTCTACGTTTAGAACAAAAAAAACTATTTTTCCTATCTGGCACTACCAAGCGCCGTCTCCATTTATTTATTGCCAGATAAGATCTAAATTAAAATAAAAAGTAAATAGAAATGCACGAAAGATGAGGTTTATTTGTGAAGAACACTGTTCCATATATATATATATGATTTTTTTCAAATGATATAAATGATAAATCCTCAATTTCAAAGATGTTTATCTGTGACCTTGGAAAGTCATTTTAGCGATGAAGAATAAAATATTTTTTTCTGATTTTTTTCTTTTTCTGAGAAGCATTTTATTAAGAAATAGTCCTAAATAATCATAACGATTTTCTAAATGAGATCTTTATAGTATTAAAGGTGATTTTAGGGCATTTCTTGTTCTTTCTCCTTGTGCCAGGCGTAGTCTAGTGGTTATCGTGCTCAAACTTTGAATCTAAGGGCTCATGTTCCGCAGTCCGTTGCTTCAAAAACATGCACCTCATTTCGACGCCGATTGAAGTTTAAACCCACTTTTCGATCATATAATTGTTGGTCCGTAAATGCTATTGACTAGCTTGCCTTCCTTCTAGTGTATCACTTTAAACTTAGGAACGGCTAGCACTGATAGCCATCGAGTAGCTTTGTACGAAATTCAAAAAACAAGCAAACAAACTTATGTTTAAAAGTTGTGTTGTTTTATATAGTGAACATTGTATTAAAATAAATAACAGTGTAAAATGGATTAATGCATTACATCATAGTTCACTTTGACACTTGGACTAAATGGCAAGGTCAGAGACCCCAAAGCACAGATATAACCATTCTAATCTAGAACTGCAAACTAGAGAGAGAGCGGCACGGGTAGCCTTTTGCGCTTAACTACAAACAAAACAAAACAAAATTAGAGAGAGAACAGATAGCCAGCAGTACAGTATGCGTTTGCTTCGCGGATACTCTTAATATAATAGAGGATTAAGTGCTGAACGTGTTTAGCGGCATATCAAACCTCGGAATTTGAACCTTCTGACCAGCAGTCCGGTACGCTAACACATAACAAAAGTCACTATTCGACACAGTTGTATTGCCACTAGTAAATAATCTTATCTTGCAAAAGATTCAATTCACTGGTTTATTCAGAGCTTTAAATCTCTGTTAATCACAACCGCTCTGCTACGGGATTTAGTTCAAAAGTAAAAATTAGTATTTAAATTATTTCAAATTTAGTAGTGTAAAACACTAACATTTAAACGATCTAATATGCATATTATTAATAATTTCAATCTAATATATCTAACTAACTAGAATAATTATGAGAAAAACGTTATACGCACTTAAATATAACTGACATAGAGTAATGTCTTACTTAATTTTCCATAATACAAATTGGCTGTTAATCACCTATTATTAGTGTAGTAAATGGTTTAAGTTCAGAAAATAGTATTGCGATCTACCTAGTATGACTTCAAATGCTTTAAAGTAAAAAGATGAGTTACAATATGACAAAAGCATTTACTTACTCTCATCACTTTTTCAGACTTTTACGTGTTTTATAACTGTTCCCTTAGAAATAGAAAAATACATATATGTACTTAAACAGGAGGTGTACATGAAACTAAAAAATCTTTGTAAGTTAAATTACATTGGTTGTATATATATTTATTATAACAAATGTGACTAAGTTTGAATATTAAGCATATCTACCTGGTGTTCCAGAAATACAAACGCAAAGAACATAGATGCTTTAAGTTTTTGCTTATCGTTCTTCTCACGAGTTAACATCTTAAGATTGTGAGTAAAATAACCACATTTAGGTCGCAAAATAAGCTCACGACTCACAGGGTAGCATCCACAGAAACTGTTCGCCGTTAAGAATCATGCAGCATATGGAGGCGGGAGAGTGATTCAAAAGTTGATAAGATAAGCGAAATGAGCCCTTGACTATAGGATCCACGCACGTAAATTTTCCTTTGACTATATGAAAAGATAAACTTGATGAAATACGAACCTTCGTTCGTGGAAACCTGAATCGATGATGTGTTAAAATGACTACAAGACAAAATGATAAATAGCTGGATGACGAGAAACGGTGTGTGTGTTTTCGAGTTAATGTTTGTAACAATGTATTCATATATGTACGTTCTGGATCTTCCTTTCTATATATAGCCTCATTTATATGGGTAGGTGATTACATAGTGATAGGCCACATATACTTTTAACCTTCCTGTGCATGATACATCAGTATACTGTTGTGTATGCAACTGTAAGGGTGCCACTTTAACGGTAAGACTTTCTGCATTAAGTGTTACTTCCAGCTACGGTTACTTTAAAACGGGCGTTACATCGCTCAAGTACCGAGTCTGTGCTACATCAAATGCTGATAACCCTAGGATTTTCTTTCCTTAACGTTAAAAATGTACGCTAGTGATTCAGATAGCAAAGTTCCATTAGACCACGTGCTTCTAGGACATTCTAGAAGCAAAAGAATGAGTAAATAAAATAGTTATGACTAAGTGCTTTTCTTGGAAAGTTAGATTAGGCTGCTGTATGAGGCCTTACAATTTTAGCTTCATATTTGCTCCCATAACTATGCAGATTAAGCCTCATTTTTTACTAACAGATACCAGATGTTACCCAACGGCATATATAAGATATAACTATAATAACCACCAAAATATGAAAACAGGTTTCTAACATGAATAAAAACTCTTAAACACATACCAAACTTGGCAGTATTAACGTTTCTTAGTTGTTTGTCCATGCACCTATTGTTTTCACATGATGACTTTTCAATAAACTTAAAGCTCTCACTTTTACCTTCAGTTGTATGAAAGTGTAAACGTGAATGTCAAAGTTCACAGAATTTATAAATTGATCCTTGACTCAATGGTCTTTTGGATCACAAGAGCGCCATGTTTGCATAATTCCTTGTGATCTTTACGTAGAAGTGCTAGATATTAGCCTAAAATAATTTTTAAGCTCTACCAAAAACAGGTCTTTCTTACTTTCGCACGTGTGTAAACAGAGCCTGGCTTTGTTCCAAATACCTTAAAGGAAATTAATAGAGATTAATAAAAAAAAAGGAAATATTACGACTAGATGCAAGGAATTTGTAATAGGGAACTACTTTACGGCTAGATGTAACTCTAACTTGTAAGTGGGAACATTACGACTAGATGCAAGTACATTCTAAGAGGGAACAATGACACCAATATTCAAGTACCTTGTAGAATTTTATGACTAGATGCAAGTAATATGCAAGCAGGGAAATATATGGGTTAGATTCCAATGAATTTTTAACTAAAGAAGAGTTATCCTGCATGGAAGAAACTTGTAAGTGGTCACACTCAAAACAAAACTTTGAACGAAGTATTATTTATTGTAAGTTATATCTACTTGGAATAGAGCTTTGTAAACTATATTTAAATAAAATGTTAGCTGGCAATTTCGAATCAGGAATGAATGTTTTTGATGCAAAAAGACAAAACTCATAAAATGTTATATTATGGGTTGTTCCGCATATCAAATTCTCAAGAATTCGATTCACTAAAGTTGTCATTCTTGTATTATACAGAGATCTTTGCGCTAGTGCTTTTACATATCAAATGTTTTTGGTTTTACAGTTATCAGTAGAGCATAATATTATGGCGTCTTTTTCAATAGAAGTCACGAAAACAACTTCTTATCGTACAGTATATCTTGTTGATAACAACAACGAATAATTCAAAAGAAATCAGTCACGCGTATAGCCTCTTTCTGTCGATAACGTTAATGTTTTTGAAAACTGGTTTTTTCTTCTCTTTGTTTTCTTCTATCTAAAATATATTTTATATTTCAGTTGACAGTAATTTTATATGAAATATTTTAACCTTTTATTTTTTAGTCTAAAATTTTTAGAATTGGTTTCCAGCCGAAATTATGTCGTTAGTTTTTCTCACTCATGAATTGTTCTGTTATTTCGATTGCGAACCAAGTTAGTCAAGAAACACGATTTTTGAATAACAAAACGTATACATAAAACTTTTCAGATCTTAAAGTTGAATATAAGTGTTATGTGAATATATACATTATGGTTAAGTACAGCATGTTATTTATACACACGTACACTTAGGTAAAGCAGAAGATGATCTGCAAGAACTGGCTGAACTACTTCAACTACCCACTGATGTCTTCGCAATTAAAGAATCTAAGGATGGCGATATCACTGTCCAAACTGTCTATACGAAAGAGCCCCTGACCAAAGGAACAGCCTTCGGGCCTTACAAGGGAAGAATAGCCAAACAAAATAGTTTTTACTCAAAGAAACTGTACACCGACGTAAGTTCATTAACTCAAAGACATTCGTGTATCTCAAATAAGCAAATGTATATGTGTCGTCAATGTTGTCAGACTGTTTAAATACCGTTCTTTCTTTTTTCTAAACACTTTTGAACGTATCTTAGAGTTAACTTAGTTGTAATTTCAGATAAAAAGTCTGAAGCTACTAAGTTATCCTGAGATTGTCGGTATTTTGCCATTGGCATAAGTTTTCCTTTTTAAGAATGCAAGATATTTTGATGAAAATTATTAACTAAGAAAAACTTCGCGTGTCTTATATCTCCTTATCCTCTTTATGTTATTGAATAAAACTAATAAACATCTTTAAAATGAATATATGATTACTCTACCTAGTATCACATTGAAAACATCTGGCACTGTGTAGTTTTGTCATGCAAGAGTTGCTATAATATGGTGATGTCACACAAGGACAGTATAAAGTAATATAAGGCTTACTATATTAATAGATACAAATAACCCTTCATAGTTTCGAAAGAAAGCAGGCCATTTTTGTTTTAGTTTTCCAAAGACTTCTGCAGAAAATACCGAAAATACACTAAAAGTAACTACCACGTGTTAATAGAGTACACATTTTTTTGTCATTGAGTAATAATCTACCTGGGTTTTTTTTCTGCAATATTCATTAATGAATTTAAGTTTATTAATTTATTTTGTAAGAATACTTGAATCTGAATGGATTTTTTTCTTCTTTTAGATTATTGTTTAAAAACTATGTCTCCAGTTACGACATATTAACACATAACATCTGCATTTTACTCTAGAGGACATAAGATTTCCTGTTGCAAACTTCGATATAAAATATTTCGCTAAGATTCATCTTTATTTTTAATATTTACTTTGAATTTTGTTAATGTTAGCTGGTCATATATTTCCATCTTATGAGAATAAGCAATATTTTCTGATAACTTAACGAGAGATAAGATAGAGTGTGATAGTATTCAGTAACGTTTTTGGAAGAAAGTGATTTAACGAAAAATGGCACATTTATTTGCGTTCATTGGTGTTCACTACTACATACAGTAACTGTCAGGCAAATGAAATAATATTTTTCTTTAATCCGACAAGCTTATCACTTGTGTAGGGAACAATAGGATTTCTCCATCTTGGATCACTCTGGAATACTGCCTTCATCACATGAAGCTTGCATACAACGCTTTAGATTCAGTGTTTACTGTAGAATCAATAGTTTTTGTTGTTTGTTATTAAAAACGCAAAACAAACCATTATTATAGCCCCATATAGTGATGTGATTAACATAACTTATCAGCAATTTATTTTCAACCTCAAATTCACAATATTTTATCACTCTATTACTTACTTGAATACATTCCTTCCTCTTTTATGTTTAAGTCATTGCATATTCTTACATATTTACGTCAATGCTTGCATATATTTATAGTTCGTAGTGCGGTCATTAAAAGTTTCTAAGTTATTCTACAAGACACTTTACGTTGTTACCATTTTCGTTTAAGGTTATTGGTATATGAACTGCTTGTTGTTATGATAATATGATTTATAATTAAATACAACTGCGCAGGACAACGATTCTAATGAAGAAGAAATCATCCTTCAGATTGATGGAGAGAATGGACTTTGGTTGAAGTTACTGAAGGTAGCAATTAATCCCGAGGAAGCCAATATCATAATTACCAGGGAAGGTATGGGTATCGTTTAACTTTGAACAAGCTTTATTTGGTTTATACAGTCATTACAACTTCATGATGGGCAGTATTCTCTATCAACCGTCCAGAATTTTTTGTAATACGGAAAGATTTAGAAAAGCCTTTCGTTTTAAAATAACTTGGTATAAACTATTTAGTAACATAGGACATAACTTAATTACAAGCGAAAAGTAGTTGTTTAGGCCAAATGTAAACAACAAATCTTTGAACATACAAGTGAAACGTTTCTGAAGTGATAACAAAGACAAAGGTTAAAATAATGTAGAAATTATATATCAGAAAACTAACTGGACACTAAAAACAGCTTAGAATGAGTTATTGTATAAAGAAAAATACCAAAAAAAAGTCAAAGTAGGTTAGAATGAAAATATATATTTATTGCAAAAACATTTCTGATAAATTACCACTACCCTAGTTAACGTTTCGTTACCTAAATGTTATAGAAGTTGCTGTACATTTTATGTAAAGTTAAAAATAGTGGTGAAAGTATTTTGTTACGTACTGCTATTAGCTCTTGCTTATCATAATTTATATAACCGAAAGCACATAGAATGTACCATTCTATTTAGGCTGTCATATTTTCACATGTGTTCTTTAGATAAAACACATTTTCCTTTTGGTTCATAATTAATTCTTTATCAATATAATAATGTATCAAAATGCCTTACAATGTATAGTATTGCGCATATATTATTACAGCATTTTAAGATGGCTCTAATGAAAGAAAAACCAATCAAATCTAGGGTTACGTTTATAGATGTTGCATTTAATTAATATCGAGGCCGTATTTGTCTTGTTTAAGAACATTTTGTGCGGGTGTATTTCGAAATGTGACATAGGTGTGTACAGACTGAGCCAGTCGGTCATCATTGGTCTTTAATAGAGCATCATCAATCATTATTGCAGAAGTATGGATTCACAAGAGAACAGTAAATTAAGGCATTTCCCATCCATTAATCAGAGCTAGCACTATAAAATTGTTACCTTGTTTATAAACATTTTTCTGTCTTTACCTCCATAAATATACTTTTATATATTGTCATCATTTAATATATTTTTCTCATCTGGTTTTATTGTTGCTATTGTAAAATAGTTTATTCTTAGCTTTTTCACATTGAATACGTGATAGCGTCGTAATTAATATTATTATTATCGTCATCAACTAAAAATTGTGAAAATCCTTTGATATTTTTGTTGTTCTAGGGAACAGTATATGGTGTACGATGAACTGTGATGTCGGTAAAGATGAAGAACTAACCGTTTGGTGCGAGATTAGTTCACCACTCACGTTAATTGATCAGCTGACTCCCAGTGCAAATAAAATAGAAATAAATCTTCCGAGATTTTGCCATCCTCATGTAAAAAAACGTTTACTGGATAAAAAGAGAGTTGATTCACCCACCCTATTGACGAAACCAAGAAGTTCCTTAAGACTCTCTGAGAATACAACCAATAGCGACACTGTTCATATCAAGAACAGGAGCCCATCACCATTAGCAAGCAGTTCAGTTACAAATAATTCTTTACATAATGATGGTTTCCTAAAACGTACGTCGCAAGAAACTCCAAACCTTTCCAGCTTGGTCTTAACATCAGAAAAGAATGGTTTCCGTAGATTTGAGCAAGAAAATCCTTCATTCCTATCGCCATTTCCTTTTTTACGACCTGCACTATCACGAGGTACGTCTCGGAGTTTTTTTTACTTTCCCGAATAAATACTTTAAATGACTTAATTCCTTATACCCTAATATATATCTTCCTCTTTATCACGTTTATAATGAAACTATTTTCGCTCGCTTAAATTATTCTTTACTTCACTTAAGATAAATAAAATTTAAACGTAAACTTTTAATAATACACGTTAAAACCTCTTCCACACTAGTCATACTTTTTACATAACCATAACATTCTAGAAATTCAGGTGGCACACTGAATTGTAATTAACTATTTGAAATACATATTTTGAAGAAAGTTAGAAGTCTTATGAGGTTGTTGTTTTAGAAACATAAAAATTTTAAACTATATTAAGTAAACATGAAAAGAAGCTAACTTACCTAATACTTAGTAAAAATCGAATTAATCTTTTGAATACGATCATTTTTAATTTTCATGTTCAAAGTTTAAAAGTCTGTGTAATGAATTAATTGAAAGAATATGTTTTTGGATTAATTTACAAAATTTTTATTCCAGGTGGTCAGATTATTTGTGTACCTTTTGTTGCTCCTGAACTACCGAATACTTTGAATAATCAAGATGCAAGAGGCGTCCACCTGGTTGGTAAACTAAGTATGTCAGTCATATTTCAAAATTAGGTTATGTATTCTTTTACTATTTTTGCAATCTCACAAGAAACACCATAATTGATGTAGATTGGTTTACACTGTAAATTCCTGAGTGTTACTAGTTGACGATAATAATTAGATTGTGATCACAAGGTGTTAGTGGAGAAGATAACATTAGATGAGGTATCGGACAGGTAAGGGTTTGTAGCTTTTGTTGTGTAGAGAATCTAGATCCAAGATAGTATTAAATGAGGTATCGGACAGGTAAAGGTTTGTAGCTTTTATTGTGTAGAGAATCTAGATCCAAGATAACATTAGCTGAGATATCGGACAGGTGAAGGTTTGTAGCTTTTGTTGTGTAGAGAATCTAGATCCAAGATAGTATTAGATGAGGTATCGGGCAGGTAAAGGTTTGTAGCTTTTGTTGTGTAGAGAATCTAGATCCAAGATAATTTTAGATGAGGTATCGGACAGATAAAGTTTTGTAGCTTTTGTTGTGTAGAGAATCTAGATCCAAGATAATATTATATGAGGTATCGGACAGGTAAAGATTTGTAGCTTTTGTTGTGTAGAGAATCTAGATCCAAGATAATATTAGATGAGGTATCGGACAGGTAAAGGTTTGTAGCTTTTGTTGTGTAGAGAATCTAGATCCAAGCATCATAGAGAAATCAGTTTTTATTTTCAAAAAGTCCCTCAGTAGCACAGCTGTATATTTTCGGACTTACAACGATAGAAACCGGGTTTCGATACCCGTGGTAAGCAGCGCACAGATAGCCCATTGTGCAGCTTTCTGCTTAACTACAAACAAATCAAAAACTTTTCAAAAGAGGCAGTTTACACTTCATATGTATTAAATATAACATGTTATTTCAAACCGTACTTATTACCCGTAACAACTTGTTAACTGCATTGTGAAGTTTTCTGTTACTTGACCAACCACTTTTACAACTTCTCGTTTAAAATCCGACCGCAGTTTCCAAACAGGATGAAATTTAACGAAGACACTTACGACAACACAAGTAACGTCCTTAAAGTTTTGTGGTTAATAGCTATCACTAACATTTAATTGCATAAAAAGACATTAGGAAGTTTGTTTTTTATTAAAATGAACATTCTAACTCTTTTCAACTCTCTTTGTTTTTGGATTATTGCATAAACAATTGTAAAAACAATTATAAATTTAAAATAATAAAAAAACAAATTTGAAGCCCAATCTTTCATTCAGTTTATCATTTGTCACTGAGTTATACCGGTTTCTGGCGATTCCATCCTTCATCAGTAATCCAGGACAAGTGCAAATCGAAAAAATAAGACTAGGCTTAATGTAGTGGTCAAATGTATATTATATACGTATGATGTTTTGGGATGTCTTTTGCTCACCACAATGATCGTACTTGTATATAGAATTCCAAGAATATACAGCACTGATGCTAATGTCGTTTTCTTGTCAGTAAATTTTACATAAATAAAGGATCATTGTGGTGAGTAGAATACAGCATCTTAAAACATCATACATATAATTCATAAGTTTACTTCTAACCTCAAAGAATTATCACCAACTTCACGATTCCTCCTTCACGAAAAGTTCACAATTATATAACGTTGAATTGCAGTAACATGTCATTCTTAGTTTGTAAGTTTTTATGGCAGAACGTAAAAAGTTTTACTTTATAATTCAAATATATCTATTGTCTTTATATTGTCTATTATAAACTGACCAGGTAGGTATTATTGTTGATGTAGTATGTTCATTGTCTTGAACATTCATCGTCTCATAGTTTGTAATGAACGTAAGTATAAAGTAAATCTAGTTAAAAATAGTTTGTTTGTTTTTGAAATTCGACAAATCCAATAATTCCATATTCAAACCAAGTATAATAAGTAATAATTAATAAGCTGATCAAATCTCGTGAGATATTAGTGGTGAAAAGGGTTTAAAATATAGTTAACGGAGAGGATATCTGATTATTAACGAACTTTAATCATTATAGATTTTAGTTTTCTCGTGTATAAGTTTGTGTCAATATGTACTTCTTGTCACTTTGTTACATAGAATTAGCTTCATTAATTTACATTTAATTAACTTACTTTAATCAGCTTTTATTAATAGTTTATTAAAATTTGTATCTTCTCCATCTTTGAGCGTTCTGTCAGTCCTAAAAAAATCCGGTTCAGTCTCTAGCATAACATGAGTTTCCTGCTGTATTTGTACTTGTGCTTAAGAAAGGTTACGTTATAGCAAGTTTTAGTAATTATGTCAACGAAATCAAAGCATTTTTTTCCTTCAAATTATCTTGCTTAATCATTTGAGTACCAACAAAAGTGCGTTATGTATTCACAATTATTTGCAGTTGGTCACATATTTTACTAACATAATCACATTTTGTTAATTAGTTAAAAATGAACCATTCTGTTATTTTTTCTTCTACACATCGCTGATATGTTATCAAAATATAAAATAAAACACTTATATGAAACGTGTTGGCCCTATGCGATTAGAAGGATGTCAAACCATTATTCCTCTCTCGGTAAAATTTGATGAAATTAGCCTTTATAGAGCTGCAAAAAATATTTTTCGGGTTTTATTTAACGCTACATAAAGTGTTTATAAGAGAGTAATTTAATTATGTTTGTATTATTGAGCCAAAATGAACTGTTCTGAACTGATATTTTTGTTTTCTTTTTCTTTTGAGTGATATGTGCATAAAAAGTGCTTGGTAGCACCTTAAGTCCTTCTTCAAACGAAATGGTCTTAGCATTTTTATGAATAACTGATACCGTTGGAGTGAGTGAAAGTTTTGAATATAAGCAAATGCCTGTGAAAGTTATTTTTTGTGGTAATGTAAGGTTCAAAATAACGTTATAATTATGAAACTATGTAGAAGACGAAGGGCGGAAGACTTTCGAAACGTTCTCCTCTACACTTGTGCCTCTACAACATGCGATTGCCGTCCATTCTACAAAGTTTCATCATGAATATTCTGCCTAAACAATCTATCAAAAACATTAATAATTACTTAAACCTAGAGTTTGCTGCCATCTATTGTCAATGAAAATAACCAAGTATTTAAATAATGTAATGGCGTCAGGATTCAGGAAGGATAAGATAGTTTTGAGCTTTTGTTTAGATTATTCGAAGAGCTATGAAAAATAAAATGTATTACGTCCTAACTAGAAATTATCACGAAGTTTACCCGTACTTAAGGTAATGTTTCAACTTTATTACTAATCTGTGAAATATTTCTGAACATGAAATGGATACAGGGTGTTTGTCTGTGGTGGGAGGAACATGTGAAAGTTGACGACAATAATTGATCTAATAATAGGTTTACGTATTTGTATGCATCTAAACAACTCTGTATACTTCACACTCTAATAAATTCCGATACAGCTGACAAGCTCATAGAAAATGTATCCCCTGCAAAAAATGTTCCCAAATAGCTTCAGTATTATAAAAATAAACAATTGTCCTTAAATGCGTCATTATCATTCTTGTATTTTGTATTTCATCTTTTGGCATTTGATATTTTAAACGTTATTTATGGTTATATACACAAAACGTTGTAATGCTTAACACTAGTTACAGTTTCACTGTAGATTAGACTACGTTTTATGGTGGTTACGTTTATTCAGTTTTATAAGACAGCCTGATTTCGCTCCTTTTTTTTTTGCTTTTTTTATTTTAGGTGGTTTTCGCTGTGTTCCGTGTGGTATAGCCTTTAGTAGTCAAAAAACACTTAATGCTCATCAGAAGTTTTACTGTTCTTATCGTCAAGAAAGTAAGAGCGACACCGCGTCATCGGTACCAAACGGTAAGTACTACTTAAAATTATGAAAACAAAGTTTGTGCTTATAGAACTTTTAAAAAAATTGCAATGCTGAAAAGGCCATAAGATACAGATCGGCCAGAGTCATCGCTTATTATAATTCTCTTGTAAAATATATTTGTTTATTTATTTAGAATTTTTGCGTAAAGCTACACAAAAGGCTGTCTGCGCATAACCATTTCTATACTTTTGAACTAACAGAATAGAAGGAGTGCAGCTATTAAACAGCACCTACTCCAACTCACAGGCTACTCTTGTCTGATCAACTAGTGGGATTTGAGCATTGATCTTATAGCACACCCTCTACACCTAACCACTAAGTGTGAATCCCATTTTTATGATTGCCGGATGCGAACCATGAACCCTCAGATTTTAATTCCTGTCCATGTTCGGCTCATTTTTTTTAAAAGATTTTTTTCTAATAACTATTTAGCAACTTGTTTTCACAAGCTCTAGAAAAGTAAAAATATTTTTGTGAACAAAACAAAAATCCGAAACTATTCTACAACCATCATCTGTTACTGTATATTTCATTTCTACATGTTAAAGTTTTCAATGATTATATTATGAAGTTAATTTCTGTAACTTATGTACATTTTTATAAATTGTAGTTAGTTTCTTTTATATTTATTCTTATTATTTTTGTCCCCCAGTGGCATAGCGGTATGTCTTCGGACTTATAACGCTAGGAACCGGGTTTCGATACCCGTGGTGGGCAGAGCACAGATAGACCTTTATGTAGCTTTGTGCTTAAAAACAAACAGACTTATTATTTTTAATCGTGTGTATTTCTGTGACTTCTGTTTACTTTATCATATAGCGAAACGTTTTTATATTAGTTTCCTTATGATTACTTGTTGGTTGCCACATGATTTTGCGTTAAAGTTAACCATCCTAGTGTAAAGTTTCATAAAGATATTTTTCTTTATCAAAAAACATTGACATACTTTATTTAAAGTTATTGTTTCTTCAATAGAAAACTAAATGTACAGTTTACCTACGAAGGAACAGGCCATGCAGTTTGTTGCTGTTTTTTCTTGGAAAACTTCATTAGCAACTTACAATTTGTAGTGGCGAAGAGTTGTAATAAAACTCATTTAGTTCGGAAAATGTGGTTAAATGTCTGTGGCATTTGTTCATAATTTGGCTAAAATATTCATAGTAATCATACAATGGATTTGGGTGAGTCCCATGGGCGGTCGAAGATACTGTTTTGCTATAGTTTTACTGTAATAGGAATAAAAATTATTGCTATGTTACGTTTTTGATGTATGTTTATTAATATTTTTAAAATGCTTTAGAAAGGGTTGAGACTAATGATTAAGATTTATGATATGTATTTTTGCCAGGATGCATGGGCTGAAGCTGGGGATAGACATTGAGCTGATAGAGGATAAACGAAACTCAATTTGTGCGTTTTCATGTTTGTTTTTGTGCTTTTTTCGTCCAGGTGAACTTCAAATTAGTCAAGAAGAAACAAAAGTACCATTCGTAGCAGAGAACAATGAACATACAACTAATGGGGAAGAAGTCACAAAAGAAAATAGCAGTATTAACCAACTACCAGTTGACGTGACTGGTGAGGACAGGAAAGTGGACAGGCATGAACAATCAATAAGCAAAGTTTCTACCTCTAATCTAGAAACATTTAGATGTCCACATTGTCTGTACACTACAGATAAAAAGGGTGGGTTAACAAGACATATGCGTATTCACGAACATCTTGTCAATTACGCTACCTTACCACCTGCATCATTACCTCCTATTTCCAAGTACTGTTCTGTCTGTGATATACAGTTTTGTTCCATGAATACATTTCAAGCTCACAAGCAACATTATTGTAGTAACAGGATAGTTCAATGTACACAATCAACAACAACAGCAAAAACTTCTTTCGAGTCCTCAGCTGCAATGTCCCCAAACTTTAAATCCCAGGAGTCTTCGGAACTTATAAACTATCAAGCTGTCGATTTGGTGGCAAAAGACTCACTAGATAATCTTCCTTCTTGTACGAATCCTACCCATTCTCTCACCGTAATGCCTCACCTCCCAGAAACTGAGGCAGAATCGATAACTCTAAACAGTTCTATGTCTCCAGGAACAGGTATGGCCAATAGAACATCATCTTCCATAAATGAGCCTAACCATCATAAAGCTACAGGAAAGTATATTCTCCCAGAAGTGAAATTATCTCCTTGTGAAAATTCAAATTCGTTAATGGAAAAAGATAGCTCAGTAAAGTCACAGTTAAATGACATTTGCGATGAAGATTCGAAGACAAAGAGTGAGAATGATATTGTAAGAAGATTATCGTTGGATGCTTCCTTGTCAGCTGAAAGTGCTGAACAGAAAACATTAGATCATCCGATTGATCTAACTATCAGGAAGAGCAACAATAATACCAATTGTTCTATGGTAGTGAGTGAGCACAGTCGATCATGTTTAGATGATAAAATTAAAGACCAAGTTAAAACTAACTCTACATATCTTACAAAAAATAAACCTCATCAGATCTATAAAACCGAGAAAACCACGCCTTTGGATGAGTCTAGTTCCGTATTTCATTCACCTCATTTGCAAATACCGAATAGCAAAATACATAAGAACAGTCCATCTAATCCTTTCTCTGAAATACCAAGGAATTCAACTCACTCTCAAGTTCTAGTCAAACAAGGAAGTAGTCAATGCAAAGAATGTAATATCGTTTTTTACAAATATGAAAATTACTTAATTCACAAGAAAAATTATTGTGCGTCGCGTCAACAGAAAACCGCAGCTAATAAAATCTTTCCAGCAAATTCTGTAACACAAAATACGAAATCTATCCAAACCAAGCCGTGTGACCTCAAAATGGGTTCTCTTGGTTCGTCAAATGAAGTGTCAGCAGTGGATAACATTCCGCAAACTTTGCCCAATCAACCTACAGGAAGGCAGTTTTATCAGTTCTTCTGTGTAGCTTGTGGTGTAAAATTCACGTCACCAAAAAATTTGAAGGCTCACCAAACATACTACTGCCCAAAACGAGACCAAACTGCCGAAACTGTACCATTAGAAACACCACAAGGACTCATATGTAGTCGATGTAAAATGTGTTATATTTCGGAAGATACCTTTAGGTCTCATCCATGCTTTGTGCATATACAGAGATCAATGTACAGCTCTTTTGATGCTCTAGGTATGATGGGTCACGCTACAGCTTCTTCTGCTAATCCTACTGAAGCTTTAAGTTTTAAATGCATTTTTTGTGGTTATATAGGTCATACAGTTCGTGGTATGCGCACCCACGTTCGTGCTCATCTGGAAAGAAATTCAACGCCACCTGAAGGAATGTATGACTTAAGTGTTGAGAAACAGAAGCATGACGGTAGTGTCCTATCTGAAAGCCATCAATCTCAAACTGATTCAGGCGATTCTACAGCTGTTAATCGCTCAGGCCAAGCTGAAAATAGATACCACCTAGAATCAACTTTCTTACTTCAAAATGAAAACAAAAGATTTGCAACAAAAAAACTTCATGTTAAGAACGCTAGTCCCTCAAATATCTCCGAAGATACTTCTTCGTCGTCTGAACAGGATGATAGTAAATACCGAACTTCTGAGACTGTGGCTAAAACCCTTTGCACTGAAGATGCTTATCTATCATCAATAGATCAGAATATTAAACATAGGAGCATGTGTAGGTCGCCAGTAATTGAAAACGATTCTTCTGAAACTTCACGCAGTTCACCGGATCATCAAGCCCAAAAGGAGACTGTAAGTCAGTTGAGAATTAACAATATTCATGATGAAAGTTCTAATACTGTTGAATCCTCATTTTCAGCATCTACTTTGGAAACACGCACTTGTAACACTGAAGGGGTCAGAAGACTTCCAGACCAAAGAGAATTAAATGCACGATCTTCTGATGAAGAACTATTCGACCCTTACTACCAATTAGTTAACGAACAAGCCTATTGGTGTATGTTGTGCTCGTATTATTCTAAATACAAAGGAAATGTTGTCCGCCACATCCAAAGTGCTCACAAAGACTTCGTCAATCCATCTAATACGGCAATGGTTCTGTTAAGCAGTTCTACGCTTTTTAATGATACTGATAGAATTCGAAAGCCTTCTGGTGAAATTGACCCATCCTGTCTAACATCAACTTTATCAAAAGAAAGTAACAGCCACAGCAAAAACTGCGTCATCCGAATAGATAAAAAACAAGCGGGACTTGGTCAAAATTTAACCAAAGAAGGGAAAGAGATTAACAGTTTTGAAAAGAGCTCTTCCAACACAAATCAACCTAAGAAACAGGGCCCGAAATTCTGCAAATCGTGCAATATATCATTTAAATATTTATCTACATTCATTGCTCATAAAAAATACTACTGTTCCTCTCACGATGGGGAAGGCATTGTTCACGAGGTGTAGCAAATGTCCTTTTTTACACTGTAATATTTTCAATACTGTTTTTCAAGCATCCTGTTTATTAAATATGCATATCGGTGATTTTATGTTAAACGTTTTGCTTTTTATATATAAATCATGTCAAATTATGAAATTATGAAAAATATTCGAAATTCTTCATTAAGTCAAAAACTTTGTAGAAAAAAAACAACACTTAAAAGCATTTATGTGGCCGTTCCAATAACATAAAGCAACAATTACACTGTTAGATTTCAAACCTAACTTCTTTGTTGTAGAACCTTAAATATTTCTGCACGTTTATGCGTATTTGTACATATTAATCATTTGGTAAACTGAATTCTGAGTTTGTTTCTTGTGTTTTTTAATACTTCGAATGTTTAAATTTATTGTATATATCTATATGATCCTGATCTGTATATTACCTGTTTGTGAAATGCATCGAACAGTATGTATATATATGTATAAATACTCAATAATTGCGTATTTTGTAAGACTTGTATATATCAAATTTAAGCGTTTGTTGTCCGTTGTTTTCTAAATCAAAGCATAAAACGAGATATATCCTGACACAATAAAAAGTCTGTTGTTCTGTCGTTTCTTAATAACAACTGTTTTAATATTCACAAGGAAAATATTGTATGATCAGCTTTTATGTTTATATATATATATTGGAGAATTAACTGATTCCTGTGTTATAATATTTTTTGTCTGTCCCTAGGCTTTTTTCAGAAATTCCCCAAAATTTTAGAAGTATTTCGGACTTGCATTGAAACTGAAACACAACTACCTACCACTTCTAATCCTTGTGTAACTAATTACGTATTACATCGTATTCGTGTCAGTACATCTGTTATTACGTAGTTTCAAGTTCAGACATTTGAACTCAGTTGTTAGTTCTATAAATAGTATATTGAATTATTCTGTTTAATTTGCAACTTTTTTATTGCACTTCGTGAGGAAGACAAAGCATAATCTCAAACTGTTATAATTCATGTAATAAATGTTTAGGCTATAACACTTCATGGAAATTGTTGAATGAATTTCCTGAGCTAAAATTATAGTTCCATACTTGAAAAAATTGGCTTTTATGTTAAAATTAGAAGTGCCTTTAACGGGAGTTAAACTTAAAATGTCTGAATAAAATAAATTAATTGTTAAGCTAGTTTTAGAAATTGTTTGATAAACTTATGCTTTAAATTTACAATGACATGGTACAAGATCGGATGTTTTCGTGGAGATTAAAAGAAAATTCCAAAGAAACTATTTCATTGACATTTTGGGAAAAATTAACCACAGATTTACAGGAAGAATCCGTTGGTTTCTCTTTCATCCACTAGTTTGATATTTTTCTGAAACTTAGACTATAATTTTAATACATCTTGGACTTGATATAGTTATTCCTGAAACCTGAAGCTCATATTGTTCAGCCACGTGGTTTGTGCCACTTCTACTACTACAGTAACATTCTTGATTAGACGTCTCTGGAGAGTTCTCTTGAGCAGTGGAGGGATAGTTTCTCTTAAGGGTGACTCAATGTATCATTTGAATCACAAACAAAATGTTCTGGGTTACTAGTATGAATCTGGGTTGTGCTAGTTAGGTACAGCTTTCGAAGGAACATGGACCGTGGCAGTTCTTCCTTGCTTTCTTTTTTAGTTACTTAGTGGCAAAGGACATTATTTGTTCCCTGATACCTACGTGATGCCAAAACAGAATACGTGTTTTAATCTCAAGCTGCATGAAAATATGCGACGAATGAATGGATATGTCATAGAAGCAGCATGTGTGTACGTGAATTATGTTGCCTTTGCAGACGCTCGGTTCGTATATATAAATGATAACTTCTAAATAGGGATTTATCTTCCATGAATATAGCAGTTAAGGACGTAGAAGTCATCCAGTAATAATTCATATCATCAAAAGTAAGTATAACCGTGATTAGATAAAATACTTTACACTTTGCAATACCACATTTAAAAAGCAAATTTGTTTAGTTACATATTACCAGTTTTACAAAACTCTAACTTAAACAAACATCCACAACGTCTAAACAACAAAAACAGAAAAGGAAGACAGAAGATAATGTATCCAATTTATTTCACAGCGATAAACTCTAACTTAAACAAACATCCACAACTTCTAAAGAACACAAACATAAAATGAAGACAGAAGACAGTGTAGCCCATCAATTTGAAAGCGATTAACTAGTATGACTTAAACAAACATCCACATCATCTAAACAACAGAAATAGAAAAAGAAGACAAGAGGCAGTATAGCCCATCAATTTCACAGCGATAAACTCTAAATTAAACAAACATCCACAACGTCTAAAAAAACACAAACAGAAAAAGAAGACAATGTAGCTCATTAATTTCACAGCAATAAACTCTAACTTAAACAAACATCCATAACGTCTAAACAACAGCAAAATACAATGTATCCCATCTATTTCACAGCGATAAACTCTAACTGAAACAAACATCCACATTGTCTAAACAATAGAAACAGAAAAAGAAGGCAAAAGGCAGTATAGCCCGTCAATTTCACAGCGATAAACTCTAACTTAAACAAACATCTACAACGTCTAAACAAAAGAAACAGAAAAAGAAGACAGTGTAGCCCATCTATTTCACAGCAATAAACTCCGAACGCTTGTAGGCAGTCACAATTAACACGGAAGTAAACATCAGATGTAGCGGGCAGGTATTGGAATGTCTCATCGTTCATACAGGGTTCATTATCACAGGCTGTCTAGATATAGAAAAAGAACATTCTCTCTCTTTAACAACGATTGTGAAAAAAGAAACAGTTATTAGTAGAAGTTTAATAACTTAACACAGTATATTTTGTTCATAGTAATACGTGACGGAATCATTATTTGTCTTACAGAGATGTTATCTACTTTCTAAATATACATTCTGTCTTTCGCTGTCGGAAATTGATTTTATTATCAGACTTGTTTGTTTGTTGTTAAGCTCAAAGCTACACAATGGGTTATATGTCCTCTGCCCATCGCGGGTATATAAACCCGATTTTTAACATTAGCTCTTCCGCTGAGCCACCGTGGGGGTTAAATAAATTAAACCAAAGTGTATTTACTTGTTTCTTAAAACTTCAAAGACCCATATACGTCAGTCGCTTCTAGGTTTGATAAACTAGAGGGAAGCCAACTAATCAACAGAACCAACCACCAACTCTTGAACTTCTTTAATCGTATTATTTAATACATGGGTGTCTCACAATAACATAACACAGCTAAGCATAGTACCGAATACTAGTTTTGATAAACTAGAGGGAAGCCAACTAATCAACAGAACCAACCACCAACTCTTGAACTTCTTTAATCGTATTATTTAATACATGGGTGTCTCACAATAACATAACACAGCTAAGCATAATACCGAATACTAGTTTTGATAAACTAGATGGAAGCCAACTAATCAACAGAACCAACCACCAACTATTGAACTTCTTTAATCGTATTATTTAATACATGGGTGTCTCACAATAACATAACACAGCTAAGCATAATACCAAATAATTTTGGAAAAAATTAAATTCTTTTTTGAAGTTCACTCAAACTTGTATACTTATTCATTGTTATTAATCTCAATTATATGTACTGCATCAAAATGTATTTTCGTATCGCAGCTGATAACTTTACATGCTTGAGTTATTAGCTTTTTATACTTACTATTTTACTATACATCTTGTATCCTTCTCAATTCTGGAAGTTTTGTTCAGAAAAGATATTCAATAACTGAAGTGACTAGTCTGACCACTAGATCTAACATTCAAGCATATACTATTTCTTACACAGAGATTGGAGGCATTGTACATTATTAACAACACCTTGTACAGAATCATTGTGTCCAGTAGTTTGATGATGATTTTTAGCTATACAGTTGAGCAAAAGTTAAGGGCAAAAAAAGTTACTATATTCCATTTTTTTTTGTCAAGACTCAAAGTGGATCACAATCTTTAAATATAAAACTAAAATGATGATTGAAACTCGTGTTTTAAATCTTTTACGCGTTGCTATGGCATAATTCAAACAAATCTCCGTTGCCACAAGCAAATGATTTGTCGATCTGAATATCGCGACGGTTAATACAGTTCTACTTATTGTGGGAATTCATCCTGATGGTGCGTCAATGAGCCCTTCAGATGAGACAGGTGTGTTTTATTTCATTGATAGCGTACTAAAAAAAATGCTTAAGATTAAACTGACTTCTTATAGCTTTTATGTATCTATCTGTCATGATTTGTCACGCAAAGAGTAAATCATATCATGACAAATGACGTTTACATTCTGATACGCTTAAAAGACTAAAGAGCTCGCTAACTATGACTTATTTAGACAAATCTCCAGTATAAAAAACAAATAATTTTTCATGAAAGCTTGAACCGCTACGTTATCAAAGATGCAGTTTTAATCTCTTTTTTTTGCGAAATATAGTTTCCTTTTACTGAAGAAGCAGAGAAGGCCAGCTAAAAGTCAGTCATCTCATAAAGTTTATTTTTTTGTGTGAAGTAATAAAGAAACACTGCTTTTCTGTCATTTCTCACATATATTCTGAAATTATTCTTAACATTTTATCTCATATTCAAACTCAACGTATTTCATTTAGAATTATCATTGCAATGTAAACATACGTCAGTGTAAAGAGAGAGTAAGAAAAAAAATAGGTATGTTTCACTCTGGAGCTCTCTTAACTTCTTGGATACCAGAGCCAAAGTCTAGTTAATAAGAAATTTCTACAGATATAAAGCTCGTATAAATGAAGCCGTGTGAATTGCTTCTTGAGAGACGCCAATGGGAAAACGTTAAATAAATTTATGCTGATAGAACTTTATAAGAGAGGAGCAACAGCGTCATCTGGTTGGCAAATATAATATAAGGTAGAGACAGAAGAATAAAATATCTAACGTATTCATAAAAATTCAGAGTTCTTTATTTATGAACTCACAAATCCATCACGAACACAGCTTGTCCAAAAATACCGAAAAAATCACAATCTTTAAGAAGGCACTTGTACAAAAAATTGTATTTCTTCATCGATTACGTGAAATAAAATATTCATTATTAGAATCTTTTGAAATCAAAACAAGATATTTTATTTATGTTAGTACAAAATAACATCACCACCTTGTGTCTAGCACGGATTTTATCTACTTTTTATATATTCGTTATGTTCGTTGTCCGAACCGGATTACGTATTATACAAATATGGCGATGTATTTGTTTCATTGTTTCTGAAATTCGAGCAAAGTTATACAAGTGTTATCTACGCTGGTCATTCCTAATATTGAGCTGATAGATTAGAGAGAAAGCAGCTAGTCAACAGCACACCAGATAATGTGGTACTCTAATCAAATTAATTAATACATGGATGACTCACAGCAACTGAACACAGCTTGGCTTAGTAATGAATAACTTGGAAAACTGTATTTTCTTAACACAGCTCTGATCATCTGTTGTTATTATTGTATTGCAACGAATGTAGAAATGAGCCAGTAACAAAAGAATCAAACAAATTTGGGCGAATTTCATTTCATTTCTGTTTGGTATATGTGAGATAATGAAGATTTTTGAGGTATATGTAACCTTATTAAGGAATCGTTTTAAAACATCTTGTACATGATGTTGACATGGATTCCACAGACTAGTTCTAAAGACCTAACATCAGAGTTAAAGCTAAAAATTATGTTTAACTTTCAAAGTCGTTCTTAGAAAAACAATTCACAGGAATATTTACTACATTCAAATATAATTTAAATATTGCGGCTGATGAAATTACATATGTGACTTGTTAGATTTTCCTACTTAATGCTTTAGTACATGTATTTTGCATCATTCTTAATTCTGAAAATCTTCTAAAGAAATGCTCAACAAATTAAATGAAAAAAAATGACCACTGTAGCTAACATCCCAACAGGTAACATTTCCTCTACGGAGCTGGTGCATTATACATTACTAAGCAGACTCTCTAATGAACCTTCGTGTTCAATAGTTTAACGTTTATTGGCAATGTTATTAAAAAGTATTAATTCATTCGTTGCGATACAGTTAAGCAACAGATAAAGGTAAGGAAATCAACGTAGTCCAATT